AACCCTAAACCCTAGACCGTGGCTGTCATAATTATACATCCCTCAGCAACCCTTGCAGGTCCATAAAAGTGTACAAGTGAGAAGCTTGAAATCACTGCCGCGGTGGGCATCCTTGCAAGCCAGTGGCCAAGGTGCACCTGGAGGATTTGAGTTCGCTCCTGCGAAGTTGGAGAGCTGGAGTTCGGAATACTGTAGGGGCCTTTGGGGTTAGCGTTCTTGGTTCTTTTTGTTTAAGGGTGGTTCCTTTAAAGGGCTCTGTAAGGGCTACTATAAGGGTGTAAGGTGCAGGGGCCTGAATACTTAGAATAGGGTTTTGGGGTTCCTTTAAGGGTTCCTTCAAAGGGCTCTGTAAGGGCTACTAGCAGGGTTTAGGGGCCTTAATAATTAGAATAGGGTTTTGGGGCTCCTTTAAGGGCTCCTTGAAAGGATTCTATAAGGGCTACTATACGGGTGTAGGGTGTGCGGGCCTTACTAAGGCCCATTATACTATAAGTATAATAAGGAACCCTAAGAAGAATATCGGTAATTATTTAGGCTTCTACATTACAACAACAAAAAACACTCTAAGAGCCTTCCGGGACGCTCCTTGTGCCCTCACATGGGGGTAATTATATGGTCCCAAGTAATGGGTATTCAGGGTCGACTAGAGGGTAGATGGAGCTACCGTAGAACTAAGGTTTTGGGGTATAGCTTTGGTATGATGTTGGAGATCAGGGTTCTCATAGTTCAGGGTTTTGGTGTTTCTGGGGTTTTGGGGTTTCCAGGTTTTTGGGCTTTCTAGGGTTTAGGGCTTTGGGGTTCGTAGGATTTGGGGTTGAGGGGCTTCTCGTGTTTATGTAGGGTTTTCCTTAGATATGCAAAGGCTGACTGGACACCCCAGGACCTCAAGCTGTCAACTCCAAGCTTAGAATGCTCAGGCCTTTCCTCAAGCAAGGTAGTCATGAAATGGGACTCCTTAAACAAACTCGTCAAAACATATCACAAACTAGTCTACTGTGCTATATCTTTTGTCAAGATACACCACAAAATAGTCTCACGTGCTATATATATATATATATATTTGTTGAATGCCCTGGTCCTCCGCATTTGGCACTCCCACCTGCCAGCTCCAGCTTTTGAGTTTACGGTTCAGGACTGTGCACTTCGGGTTTAGGGCTGCGGGGCATACCTTAACCTACCAAAACCCACAAATTTGTAGGTCCTCATGATAAACCCTAATATGGGGTTGAAAGGGACCCTACAAAACAGTAGGTTCTGGTGGGTTTAAGGCCCAGGACCCCGGAAAACCCAAGACCCCTTAATGAAGGAAGATACCTTACGTTTTAGGGGGCTCTTTAGATTATGATTGAAATATTCCCTAAAATGAAGGAAGATACCTTACATTATCGGGGGCTTTAGACTAGGATTTAAGGTATATTCCCCAATTAAGTATATATGGGGGGTTCTCTAGGACGCGCAGCCTCTTACAACCATCCGGGTGACGAGACAGCCCGGTAACTAAGTCGTCCATGCCCAAACCTCCCAAAACCCCTCGTTTATAGATCTTCTTGTAAAATGTTGCTCACCAAGACTCTATTCTGCTGATGCAGGGCCCTACGAGGCCCGACAACTTCGGCCCTTCGTCCCTTAAAAGGACCCTGACAGGCCGAACGGAGGAGTCATAGGAGCGTCCATACTTGGCGTTGGGGTTGCGTAAATCAGCTCTACAGTTCTACGGAGACTCTAGAAGGAGAGCGTTGCCCAAAGAATCCCGAGTACCTACGTAGTCGAAAGTAGGGTTCCTATAGTAGGCAATACTATGATGCTTTGGGTAAGTATCCCCCATATAAATTCTTAGGACCCTTTGGTTACAAACTATATTCCCTAAAACCTCAACCTCTAAATCCTAAGCCCTAAACCCCAAACCCCTAAACCCTTACAAACCCTGGACCCCAAACCCCCAAGCCCTGGGGCCTTCACAATCAGAATAAGGGTTTTGGGGCCCATTATACTAGAATCATATAATAAGGAGCCCCCAAAATAGTATATAGGTAATTATTATAACAAGCAAACCCCTAAATATAAGCAACCCCCAACATAGTATAGGTACTTGTTACCTGTTATAATGAGGAATCCCCAAATAAGGAACCCCAAAAATAGTATAGGTACTTGTTTCGGCCCCTACATTAAACCTAAACCCTAAACCCTAAACCCTAAACCCTAAACCCTAAACCGTTAAAACCCTAAACCCTAAACCCGAAACCCCAAACCTTTAAAAGCCCAAGGGCGCGACCAAGGCAGGCCTCGATCTCCCTCTCCAGGCGCCCGGCGCGGCGGATGGCCGGATCCAGGGCATCGGGCCGGTTCGTCGCCTTTCGACCACTTTCACGAATGGGGCTTCGGGTTCCGAGGTTTAGGGTTTAGGGTTTAGGGTTTAGGGTTTAGGGTTTAGGGTTTAGGATTTAGGGTTAGGGTTCAGGGGTTTAGGGTTACCGACCACTTTCACGAGGCGTCTGGGGTTCGGGCTTATAAGGTTTAGGGTTCAGGGTTTCAGGGTTCTTTAGGCTTTAGGGTTTGTAAGGTTTAGGTTTTTTTTAGGGTTCAGGGGTTTTGGGTTTATAAGGTTTAGGGTTTTTTTCGGGTTGAGGGTTTAGGGTTTATAAGGTTTAGGGTTTAGGGTTCTTTCGGGTTCAGGGTGTAGGGGTTTGGGGTTTATAAGGTTTGGGGGGAACCAACAGCATCCCAACCTTGCCCATAATAGTGACACTTCTGTTGCCGAGTCGCCCCGAGCACGACGATGCCATCCCCACCTTAGTTGCCGAGTTCATAAGACCCAAAAAATCGTAGACAGAGCACCCTAAACCCTGAACCCTAAACCCCTAAACCCCTAAACCCCTTAAACCCTCAACCCTAAACCCTAAACCCTAAACCCTAAACCCTAAAACCCTAAACCCTAAACCCAAAGCTGCAGCTACCGAGCCACCCTTCGGGCCATCCAGCGCGGTTAAGAAAGCCGCGACCATCCTCCAGGGCAAAGCTCGTAGGGGTTTTGGGGTTTTTGGGTTTCAGGGCTTAGGGTTTAGGGTTTCAGGGCTTAGGGCTTAGGGCTTCAGGGTTTAGGGCTTAGGGGTTTAGGGGTTTAGGGTTTAGGATTTTAGGGTTTAGGATTTAGGATTTAGGGCTTTGGGTTTAGCGGTTTAGCGGTTTAGGGTTTAGGGTTTAGGGTTTCGGGCCTGGGGCTTTGGGTTTAGGGTTTAGGGTTGTGGTTAATGTAGGGGCCGTAACAATTAGAATAGGGTTTTGGGGTATATTCTCATATAGCTCTAATAAGGAACCCGCAAAAAAGTATAGGCAATTATTGAGGCCCCTATATTAGGGTTGTGGTTCTGGGGGCCCAAAGGGAGTCCAAAACCTCTTGATCAACGAATACTTTTGCGTTAAGTTAGAAGGAGGACGAATTCTCTTGAACATAGCCCGGTTTAGGGTTCAGCGTCTGGGGTTTAGGGTTTGGGGTTTAAGGTTTAGGGTTAAGGGTGTGAGGTTTGGGGCCCCCATTTTGGCGTCATCGTCTCAATGGCATGGTCTAGAGGGACTCAGCATGCAGGCATTTAGCCACTTTACAAGTGTTTACGGCTGGCGATCTATGTCCTTGGGGGACCTAGGGCGGGCAGGGAGAGTCACCTACACCCTCCCGTAACCAACACTACACTACCCTAACCCTCCAGGTACCTACTATATAGGGCCTTCGGGGCTCTAGTACCCTATATAGTAGGTAACTGGGGGGGTTAGCACTACACACCACACCTAAACTCCGGATGGTTCAGTTCCCGCCGGACTCCGACTCCAAGCCAGGCAAGTCAAAAGCCTGCACTCAGCCCTCTAAAACCCTAAAGCCCTACACCCTGAACCCTAAAACCCTAAAGCCCTAAATCCCTAAACCCCTAAACCCTAAACCCTAAAATCCTAAAGGCCTAAACCCTAAAACCCTAAAGCCGTAAACCCCTAAACCCTAAAACCCTAAACCCTTCAACCAGGGGAGGCGAGAAATGAACCTCCAACGGCACAGAACAACACCACCAACCCTAGCACTACTGTTGATGATTTAAATCCTGCATTACCTAGTAAGGACCCTGAACTATGGGAATTATGGTATAATTCTTATTATGGGAAATTTTAATGCAGGATTTATACCATCAACCGTAGCTAGCCAACCATGTAATCTGAAGCAGAAACATGGTTTCGAACTTCTTCCGGTCCTTCGCTCGGCTTCGCTTGCATCGTCTCGCTTGGGACAGACCGCATCGATCTCGTCGATGAACCTGAGTCTTCAGGGATCAGGGTTAAGGGTTTAAGGTTTAGGGTTTAGGGTTTCAGGGCTCAGGGATTTCTGTTCATGACGCCACTTGCGCGCCCAACAGATACGGCTCAGAATGTAGGGCCGAAGGACGCTATAAGGTTTAGGCTTAGGGATTGGGGTTAATCTGTAGTTTTCATGTGTTTTGTCAGAAAAGCTAAGAGAGGGGCTTTGGACAAGATGAACCCAAGCCAAGTACTGTAACTTGTCATGCATCCTTGCTGTCACCTACTTACTATGTCCCCTCATGGCCCAAGACAGTGTCACAGTCGTAGTACACTTTGGGAAGGTGTACACCTGGTTGCTCCTTAACCCTAAACCCTCAACCCGAAGCCCTAAAACTGTACATTTCAAGTTCTTGCACTGGCAGGCTGGCCGGATCTGACCTGCCACAAGATAACAGAACACCTGGTCGTCCGCTGCTTCGCACTAGCGCGTGCCGAGAGAGCTTCGAGGAGTTGCTCGAGCTCCCTTTTAGAAAAACATGCTATACTATACTATAAAATACCAACAATAATACTGGTAATAATAATTGCAATAATAGCATTTTAGTTGGAGCTTATAGTGCATTCGGGTTGAAAGTGCTACTATAAATACACTCTCTGGATGCAGATCTGTCGCAAGAAATAGTCTAGACACTAAACGATCCAAACATATCTGAACCATACATCTCAAATATCCCACCCAAATTGAAGACTCTCCAAATCCGTAAACCCTAAACCCTAAATAGCCAACTGCCCAGCAGCAGAAGAGCTCCGGTTTCGTTCTGGGCTGCTTGCTGGCGGCAGATCTCAAAGGTGCTGCGGATCCTCTGCAGGGATCCGAAAATCCCCAGACCTTCAATCCCGAAACCCCTAATGTAAGGGCTTTAACAATTAGAACAGGGTTTTGGGGGCTCCTTATACCCCCATTCTTAACGGATCATGGGAAAATCTCCAGACCTTCAATTCCGAGAGCCCCACCCCCTGATTTAAGGATCATAGGGCTTGGGTTAAGGGTTTAGGGTTTAGGGTTTAGGGGATCATGAACGCCTTCAACCCCGAGAGCCCTCATGTAGGGGCCTTGATAATTAGAATAAGGGTTTTGGGGGGCTCCTTATTATAGTTATAGTATACTATACCCCAAACCCTATTCTGATTAATAATGGGGCCCCTATAGTACCCCCATTCTTAAAGAATCCTGGGGCGGGCAAGTAACTATAGTTATACAGTTATACCTACTTACGATCATGACTAAGCCCTAAACCCTAAACCCTAAACCCTAAACCCTAAACCCTAAACCCAAACCCCCTAAGGTACTTAGAGCCCTACATACTAGGTCTCCTGTTTGGGCCATTGCCCCGGCCCCCCGGCCGTCCTTCCAGAAGAACAGATGGGCTTGGACATTCCGGGTGTCTCTCTCTCTCTCTCTCTCTCTATTTTTCTATATATATATATATATACTACAGGGTCTTACTAAAAGTAGAATAGGGCTTGGGGTCATAGCATGTTCTGCTCATAACGAGGGACCCTTAGGAATGATGTTGGTACGCATGAAGGCCTCGATATACGAGCGGAAGTTCCCCAAATCCCCTACACCCTAAACCCTGAACCCTAAGATCCTAAACCCTAAATCCCCAAAACCCTAAACCCTAAAATCCAAACCCTAAACCCTAAAACCCTAAACCCTAAAACCCTAAAACCCTAAAACCATAAAACCCTAAACCCCTCGGTCCGTTCTTCGGACTCGCCGATGCCGCCGCCCACGAAATCCGTGGCTGCGAGGAGCTCACAGGGACACTGTAGCCTCGGCTACTAGGGGGATCATCGTAGGGTCGTAGGGTTCAGGGGTTTAGGGTTCAGGGGTTTGGGGTTTAGGGTTCAGGGGTTCAGGGTTCAGGGTTTAGGGTTTGAAGTGTAGGGTTTAGGGTTTAGGGCTACTAAGGGGATCATCGTACGGCTGATGGACAAAATCCTGCATGACCCTACAAGCCTAAACTATGGGATTTATGGTACCATACTATATTTGGGTCATGCAGAATTTTGTCCATCAACAGTAGGGTTCAGGGGTTTGGGGTTCAGGTGTTTGGGGTTTAGGGTTTAGGGTTTAGGGTTTAGGGTTTAGGGGGATTTGGGTTTAGGGGTTTAGGGTTTGGGGTTTAGGGGTTTTAGGGTCTACTTGGAGGATCATGGGACTTAGTAAGTAGGGATAGAAGTAAGGTAACTATGGTTATATCTACTTATGACTCCATTTAGGGTACTTATGACCCTACTTACTAAGTCCCCTGATCCTCTCAGTAGGGTTCAGGGTTCAGGGTTTAGTGTGTCGGTTTAGGGCGTACGGGTTTAGGACATTGGGGTTTGAAATTTAAGTTTTCGGGCTTAGGGTGTACAGCTCAGAGAGTTTATAGCTTTCAAGGCTTATTTGGTTTAGGCTAAGGCTTTCACATCTCCAGACACAGCACCCATGATAGTCCTAAGGGCAAGAAGGTCTCTGAAATCTAAGAGCTACATTCTGAGAGAATCCCTCTCTGGCCCGAACATCCTGAAGTCCTAAATCCCCAAGCCATGTCGTCTTGAAGCCTCAAAACCTGAAAAAAAGCTCAGAAAACAAAAAAAATAGACCACCGAAAACCCACAGCCCGGAGACCGGAAGGCTACACCCTAGACCGCAAACCCGAAATCCCACACCCCGGAAGTCCCGAAGACCGAAAGCCTAAGTACACCCTTACATCTTAAAACGTCCGAAAACCACAAAAACAGACAAGCTGCGATCCTTCTTGCACTTACTATGACTACTTTGTTTACTATTATTACTTTTGCTTTATTCTTATTACTCCTGCCTTTCATAGCATTTTTTGGTCTTGTTCTTATTGTTCCCCACACTTCATCCAAGAGGCTCCTGGGCCAAACTTCGTGCCAGGAGGGTCTTGCCGGTGCCCGGAGGCCCGAAGAGGAGCACCTCTTCTTGAGGACGTTCGGGTCCTTTTGTGGGGGGTTTAGGGTTTAGGGTTTTAGGGTTTAGGAGTTTAGGGTTTAAGGTTCAGGGTTTAGGGTTTAGGGGTTTAGGGTTTAAGGTTTAGGGGCTTAGGGTTTAAGGTTTAGGGGCTTAGGGTATTGAGGATGAGTGTTTTTGTGGGTGCTCGGGGAGTTTGAGGGTTAGCGACTTAGGCTTGAAGCCCTGCTACGTACCCCGAAAGTGTAACAAGCACAAGAATACCACGACAAACGCTACAAGCTGTAAAACACCACAAGGTAATCAGGTACAAACCACACTTTAGCCAGAACGGCCCCCCATCGAACATCCAGAGAACCACAAGAACCAAAAGCCATGAACCCCGAAACACTGGCCTAAACCGTAAACCCTCAACCCTTAACCCAGAAAAACCTTCTCACCCCAAACCCCCTCCCCGCCCAAAACCCGTAAATCCCAAATCCTAAATCCTAAACCCTTAAATCCGAGACCCTTAAAACCTCAAACCCTTAAGTCCTAAACCCTCAAATCCTAAACCCCAAAACAAAAAAAAATCCCTCGCCAAGCCGCTCCCCGGGGCGGCGCCGCCCCGAGGCGGCGATAGAGCTGAGGATGCCTGGGTTTTGTATTGGGATGTAATGTAGGGGCCTAAAGGTTTAGGGTTTAGGGCTGAGGGTTTGGGGCTTAGGGCTTAGGGTTTAGGGTTTAAGGTTTAGGGTTGTGGTTACTGTAGGGGTCTTAAGACTTAGAATAGGGTTTGGGGGCCCAATATATTATAATTATAATAAGGAACCAACCCCGCAAAATAGTGTAGGTATTTGTTTAAGCTTCTAGATACCAATACTACGTTGAGGCTTCCTTCTTATAATTACAGTATACTGGGCCTCCAAACCCTATTCTAATTCTTCCAGCCCCTAGAGTAGCGCCCTCCCTCCACGATAGAAAGTGGGTTCAGAACCGACCCGAAACCCAGAAAACGAACCCCACCTGTAGCCGAAAAGACCTACTTTTCTAGGGTTCCTTACTATGCTTTCTATATCTATACATATATATATATATATGTAATAGTATAATATAATATAGTAAAATATAATACAGTATAACATAATAGATTATAAAGATCATCTAATATAACATAATACAATATGATATAATAAGTATTTATATACAGTTCCTCAAAAAAGTAGATCTTGTGGACCACAGGCAGGGCCTTGGGCTTAAGTAGGGTTTATGGTTCAAGGTCTAGGTTTTAGGGTCCCCTCCTTGTGCCCTCAAAGAGGGGGTATATGGTTCCAAATAATGGGTATTGAGGGTCGAATAGATGGCAGATGGACGGTCTACGTTATCCTGGCATTTATACGGCGCCTGTAGTACAGGGCTTAGGGTCTGTAGACATCGTTTGAGGTGGGAGGTATTTTGGGATTTGGGATCTTCAGGGCATAGTACCACGTAAGGTTATGATGTTTTGAACAGTGTGTCTTATCGCGGGGCTCCCTAAGGGTCCAAGTACCTAATATAGTCCTTTACTCTCCCAGCCCTACTCTTGCAACTCCTGGCAAGCAAACTCCAGCACAGATGTACCAAGTCGCACAACAAAACAAGCTTTACACTTCTTTACACGGCACAGATGTTCCAGTGTACCAAGTCGCACAACGAAACAAGCTTTACACAGCCCGCACGCATAAGCTGTCGTGATCCAACCATGTCTGGTTAAGTTCCTAGACATCACAACTAGATGAGAAAAACAAACAAGCATCCAAATCTGCTCAGCCTCAAGTCCACCGTCAAATTCGTGTTCACAAGCCGAGGTGCTGCAGCGGCATCTGCACTGCCTCGCGCAGCCTGGGTTATGATCTGTTGAACTTCGGCGGTCTGTGTCTCAAGCACTGTCTCCAAAGGGCCAAGCAACTCCTACAGTAGAGCCTCCGGGCTGGAATGTCGTTAATAGCACACCAGGGTCTGTGCGAGGTCTGAAAAGTGTAGGACTAACTGCAAAAGCTGCAGCTGCACTTCAGCCGAACCTTGTTAACCCTAAACCTAAACCCCTAAACCCTAAACCCTAAACCCTAAACCCTAAACCCCCAAACCCTAATCATGATGCAACTTCGAAGCTCGTCAACGACGGCACGCAAACCTCCCACCTCTGCAGGTAGATTGGATCTTTGCTGTGGGTGTTCCTTTAAGCCCTGGATGGAGAAAACTGCTGAGCGGTTTAGGGTTTAGGGTTTTGGGGTCTATCTTAGTTTTAGCTATTGAGTGAAGGATGGAGCAGGGCTTTTAGAGGCTCCACTTTACGTTTGAAAGACCCTGGCGTTGAGCAGATTCACGAAACTTGGACAGGATCTCCAGTGTGAGCTACGCCGCAAAAGGCCTGAGGCCCTCGATGCTGCTTGCTAGGTGCAGCCTGCAGAACCCCCGCTGTGACTCAAATGAGCAAGCCTCAAAGCTTGACTCCCAAAGTTCCCACTAATATGGGAGCCTTAATAATTAGAATAGGGTTTCGGGGCATATTATACTATAATTACACAAAAGAACCCCCAAAATAGTATAGGTAATTAAGGCCCCTAATTACTCATCATAAACCCAACATACTACAAGAACCAGATCCCTGCTATGTGACCACGAGGTCCCGCAACCTTATCAACCCGACACCCTCAACTCGAAACCCTAATTACCTGGACCCCAAAGAACCTGCTTTTTTTGGCTTCAAAAGGCAAGTGATTCAGGGTCCAGGCAAGCCTGTATCCCTAGACCTAAACAAACCCACAGCCGTGTATCGCTTCCCCATGGGAGTTAGGATTAGGGGGACCCTGCGGATATAGACCCTCTTAAGGGGACCCTGGGAGGGTCTCCCTGATACTATCTACTGTTGATGATAGAAACGCTGCATTACCTTAAGGACGCTAAACTATGGGAATTATAGTTTCTTCCGTATTATGGGTAATGCAGGATTTCTATCATCAACCGCAAGACCGCCTAAACCCTAAACCCTAAAAACC